CGCTGACCGCTTCTCTGCCCGCCGTCTCCGCGTCCCCGTCCTCCTCCCGACCCCGAGCTCCGGGCGCGCCTTCCTCCTGCGTCTCCTGCGCCCGCGCGGTGCCCTCTCTCCGCTTACTTGTCCCCAAGCTGACCCTCACCTTCCCTCCCCGACTCCCCTCTCGGCTCCTGCGTCCTCGGAGCTCCTGTCCTTTCATCTCATTTCTCCGTTTTCACCTCCTGTTGCAGCTCAGCAGGGCATTTCACTTTGGGGAAAGAAACGAGGGCCTATGGAGTTAAGAGGGTCGAGGAATAAAAGGGATTAACTCGTGAAAGTTGGAGACAAAAAAATTGAATTCATATACTATTTATTTCCTGAAATGGTAGTGTGTGAATGACACAGTTTTTTGCTCATGACCCCAGAATGCAAAGTGGCATGTGCCCCATAAACTGTTTTTACTGTGTTTTCCTCCTAGGTTACATCGTAACTGAAATTTAAATTGAGATTATCTGTGCCTCAGAGAATCCCCATCTCTGAACAAATTGCCGTCCAGTCAGTAGATTTCATTAAAGTAGAACTTGATAGTTAATTGAAGATTTATTTCTGAAATACTCCTAACCATTGCAGAAATTTTAAGTCTCAATGAAACTTAATTTTTTGCAGGTGAACTCAGGACATGATGAGCTAGGAAAATAAATTATTTTTTTCTGTACGTGCCCCAGGATTTTCATTTACATGAAATGGAAATGTGTATTTCTCAGGTTTTAAGATTCCTTTTTAAATCCTGTCATCCACTGATAATTTATAACCTCTTTTATCTTGGCAGATGTTGGAGAGCAATCTTTGTAGCCTTATCTTAAATATTTTCTTCCAGCCTCCTGTGCTCTAACAAACTCAAATACTGTGGTATTATAATGATTCATTTTAAAAATATTTTGAAGGAAACAAAAGTCAGAGAAGTCATGATTCATTTATTTGATTGCCTTAATGATTCTAATATTCTCTTTCTTTTCCCCAATAAACATGAGTCTGGGAATTTCCTTTGTACAAGAATTTGGAACCTGGGGAGGGATTCTATGGGTATATAGGTGATGATATAGATGGCTATGTGATTACACTCTACATTAATTAAAAACTAATTCCCCAGTGGGCAATTCTTTAGGCAGGGCTAAGCTTTAAAGAAGGGGATTCTAGCCCAAGCCTTAAGCGTCATCATTAATGCTCCTTAGTGTGGGCATCACATGTTTGTTCATAGACGTGAAAGTACTTATTTCCATAAAGTGCCTTTTCTCTGCTGGGAAATTCTGTTTCTACACCTGCGAGTTTGAAAACAAGGATGCATTGAATTTTTTTGAAAATGCTAGCGTCCTCCCTCTTGAACACCCACTCCCCTGTATCTCCTACACTCTTTCTTCTGTGCTCCTTCACCATTCCTGGTGGATGGAGTCCCTTTCTGGTCAGAAATGATTCTGTAAGACTGCTGGAAACTGTCACCACCTGACATTTTACCTTACATCTGCTGTATTTCTCAGGGCATTTTTAATTAATGCTTTCACTGCAGCTATATTCCCATTTTAAAATTAGATAATCAGAGACTTGATTAAATCCCGGAGACAAGAGTGAGTGAGGTTGTTGTGAGGCTTAAAAAGTTCTTAGTAAAGGTAAAAAATGTCTACCTGGACTGTTTCTAGATTGCGTTAAGGATGAAGAAAGGGAAAGTACTTGCCTTCTGGTTATTCCCAAGCAAGAACTAACCGAAATGAAGTATTAAAAGGAGAAGAAATTTAAAAATGCCAGAGGTAGCTGCTTGCTCCAGAGGCTTTGGAAAGGCTGCCTTATCTAGTGAAAAAGCCACTGGTCTGGTAGCACAAGGGTAGGCCCTGTTCTTGATCCTGTGGCTGACTGTGTGGGCTTTCCCAGTTCACTTTATTTCCCCAGCAGCAGTTTTCTTTTCAAGGAGTAGTTAATATTCTTGAAGCCAAACCACTTGCTTTGTGTTTTGAAGGAGTCATTTGATCCCAGCAGGTTAAGAAGCATCTTGGTGCTCATGACCAGTGTACTCTCTTACTCCCACCCTTAACCCTGTCCCCTGCCAAGCCAAGAAAAGTGCATACTGTTGTTGCACTTTGTCATAGGTTCTGTCTTCCTCTTCACACCGGCTAGAGGGCCAAATAAGTAATGGAGAAGTACATATATATGTCCACAGGTAGACCATAGACCAAACAACGGCTTTGTTCTGTGCTCAGCAAATGCTGAAAATAAATGGAATCTCTGATGTTCTCGAGGTAGAATATGAATAGATAGGATTGTTAGGATCAACATTTCAGTTAAGTTAACTAGCCAGATCAGTAATTGAATCACTAAAGTTGTGATTCAATAGCTTATTTTACCAATGTCCAGAATAATCAGATCTTTTAACCATGACTGGTCCAGCTTACACCAATTAGAGTTTAATAGATTTAACAATAGTGAATATTATACATTAAAACAAACGCAAAAACAAAACCTCACTGTTACCATGCAGTGATGAACAACAGAAAATCTGGCACTGTGGCCGTACAGTGCTTTAGCCAGAAGACTTCCAGGTGAGTATGTCCTTCAGGCCAGATCATGCTAAAGTTGAGAGACTTTCTTCACTGCCTATTCAAAAATGCAAATAGCATGTTAGTCTTGGCAGAGAATATTTTTAAAAATCCTTTCTCGAGATAGAGGTTTAGGGGTGGAGGAGACAGTCTGGCAAAATGCAAGCATCACCATATTCAAATATTAGAAATAGATGTTAAATTATTTTATGTATGAATCTAGGAATTTTTGAAATTTGTAAATGTGCACATTTATATTCATATAAAGATGTTATAAATACCTTTCATTCCCTCATGTTCTGTTATACACCTAAATATTTTTTCATACTAGATGTTTTATTGAATTCTTTTGTAATAATCAGCAAGGTTAACTCAAAATAGTTTCATATTGGTGCCATACATCCTGAGGGTGTTTGGACCGGTAAGAGGTCTATTCAGTTCTGGAATCACCTGCTGACTGACTTAGCCTCAGAAACATTTCTTGCTTGTGATGGTAGACATATAGTATATTATCTGTTTCTATAAACACAGTGAAGCTACACATTTCTTTTAGTCTAAGTTCATACTGTGTATATCCTTATTCCAATATTTGAAAGCAAAGAATTGTGTTAATTTTAAAAATTTTCGAGAGACATTCTGTCTCTTTATTATTGCATTGCCTAATTTGGGTGTGGAGGGTATATCTCTATTGTTTATTTTTAAGAAATTAGAAAATACGTGAGAAAGCATTTCATGACTTGTGTTAGTAGACGTTTGTGTACAGATAACAAGTCAGGCCCCAATGGATTGTAATTGCTGTTGCATGAAATTACTTTTATATTGTTTACAATTGTATTCTTTCTTGAATTTTCTTCTTTCAGAGAAGAGTTCCAGTCACAAATGCTTATGTGATGTATTTTGGCATTTACTGCTAAGATGAAATGCAGGAATGAAAACCACACATCCATTTTAGTATTCTCAGATGTGATTAGATGTACTTTGTCATGTTTCTATGCTACTGACTTATTAAAAAAAAACTTTAAAAAGGTAACAAGTGAAACCTGCAAACCCAGTGCTGCTGGAAGACCTGGAACATTACAAGGAGAGGTTTTATTACAGCATAATCACACCTCAGCAGAACTTCAGCCTAGATTCGTATTTATTTCTTTCATCAGCAGCTGTTACCTGACCCTTTATCTCTTGGGATGGCAGACAATCTTCCCACAGAGTTTGATGTGGTTATAATAGGGACAGGTTTGCCTGAATCTATCCTTGCAGCTGCATGTTCAAGAAGTGGACAGAGGGTTCTACATGTTGATTCAAGAAGTTACTATGGAGGGAATTGGGCTAGTTTCAGCTTTTCAGGATTGCTGTCCTGGTTGGAGTGTCAGCAAAACAGTTACACCGAGGAAGAAACTGCTATTGCATGGCAAGACTTGATCCATGAAACAGAAGAAGCTATCGCTCTTTGTAAGAAGGATGAGACCATTCAGCACACAGAAGTTTTTTGTTACGCCAGCCAAAATGCAGGGGACAGTGTTCAGGAGATTGGTACTCTGCAGAAAAATGCTTCCTCAGTGGCATCTAGTACCTTCACTGAACCTCTGCATTCTGCAGAGTTGCTTGAAGAAAGGCACTCATACGTTATTAACAATGAAATGCCTGCTAAACATCCGTCAAAAAGCGATAGCAAGATTTCACTACAAGAAGAAGTAGAGGAATCACCAGAGAAAGAAAAGCACTGTGAAGATGAAACTAGTATACATCCAGTTTCGGATGGAGCTAAGGTTGAAAACAAGTCTGCAGTAGAAGACAACACTGATCAACCAAAGAGAAAAGTGATTACTTACCCTCAAATGGTTAAAGAAAGCAGGAGATTTAATATTGATTTGGTGTCAAAGCTGCTGTATTCTCAAGGATCACTGATTGATCTTTTAATCAAATCAAATGTTAGTCGTTATGCAGAATTTAAAAATGTCACTAGGATTCTTGCATTTCGGGAAGGAAAGGTAGAACAGGTGCCTTGCTCCAGAGCAGATGTCTTTAATAGCAAAGAACTCACTATGATTGAGAAAAGAATGTTAATGAAATTTCTTACATTCTGTTTAGACTATGAACAGTATCCTGGTGAATACCAAGATTTCCAGCACTGTTTGTTTTCTGAGTACTTAAAAACTAAAAAACTAACCCCCAACCTCCAACATTTTATACTACACTCAATTGCAATGACATCGGAATCATCTTGCACTACATTAGATGGCCTTAAAGCAACAAAAAACTTCATTCAGTGTCTTGGACGGTTTGGCAACACTCCCTTTTTATTTCCTTTGTATGGCCAAGGAGAAATTCCTCAGTGTTTTTGCAGGATGTGTGCAGTTTTTGGTGGAATCTATTGTCTTCGTCATAAAATCCAATGCCTTGTAGTTGACAAAGAATCTGGAAGATGTAAAGCAGTTATAGATCACTTTGGTCAAAGAATAAATGCTAACTATTTTATTGTGGAGGATAGTTACCTTAATAAGGAAACATGCTCAGATGTGCAGTATAAGCAAATCTCAAGGGCAGTGCTTATTACAGATCAGTCTATACTAAAGGCAGATTCTGATCAACAGACTTCCATTTTGATAGTTCCTCCGGTAGAACCAGGAGCTTGCTCTGTTCGGGTTGTAGAATTATGTTCATCAACTATGACATGCATGAAAGACACCTATGTAGTACATCTGACCTGTGCATCTTCAAAAACGGCAAGAGAAGACTTAGAATCAGTAGTGAAGAAATTATTCACTCCTCTTAATGAAGCAGTAGTAGATAAGGAAGAGCTTAGAAAGCCAAACCTCTTGTGGGCTCTTTATTTTAATATGAGAGATTCCTCGGGAGTCAGCAGAAGCTCATATCATGGCCTACCTTGCAATGTTTATGTCTGCTCTGGGCCCGACTCTGGACTGGGAAGTGAGCACGCGGTCAAGCTAGCAGAAACAGTGTTCCAGGAGATCATTCCAAGTGAAGAATTCTGCCCCCCTCCTCCAAATCCAGAAGACATTATTTTTGATGGTAGTGATAAGCAAGCAGATGCTCCTGGAACACATAATACAACAGTGGCTGAGCTAGAATCTCCTGAGGAAAGCAAAAACCTAGAAAGCCCCCTTCAAAACTAGAACTGGAAATACATTTCGTCTTGGTGCCAGAATATTCTCATTTGAAGGACAGTTTTCCATATGAAATGGCTTTGTGATGAATGCTGTGCAGATGTTGTCTTTATGACCTTTTAAGACATTGGCTATTGAAGATCTTTGTAAATCAGTAACTGATTTAATGGTTATTGGACATTTTGTTTCAGAATCAGCTTCATGATCCAGAAACTTAAAACAGGGTTACCTTTATCTTAATATCTGGTATATATGTGAGAGTTCTATTAGCAACTTTGCTTAAAGGAAGATAAAACTGTTACCTACTACTGGTCTTCAGATTTTGTCATTGTCCACAGAATAATATATAAGAAATACATTAGTTACTTTTGCAGCTATTATAGTTGCTACCAGCTCTTAATAGAGAAAAACATAAATACATTATGTGAATCTTTTGTATATAATATAAATAATGTAAACTTGGTGGTGAGAATAGCAACTAATAAAAGTGCCAGTATATAAAAATACACTTGTCTGTAATTCTTAAAAGATTACTTTTGCATAGTCTTTATTCTTTGTGAAGGCCTCATGTTTATAATATATTTTGCAGTTTAATTTGCTTAGTCCTTGTAATCAAGTGAAACAATGACAACCATTACTTTCCACTTTGCAAAAAGAAACAGATTAGTTTATAGTTTTTGGCATCAGGGATTGAACTCAGGTCTTTGTGCTTGTGAGGCAGGTGGCAGAACCACTGAGTTAAATCCCTGACCCAGGTTATTTGATAGTTTGAAGAGTTGAAGATACATTCCAAAGAAAATCTAGAGGATAAGATTAGTTTTTTAAAAATCTGCAGAACCGTGCTCTGGTATCTGAATGAAAAGAACTTCTAACAATTCTGGCTAAAAGAAAGAAAGAAAAAAAAGATTACCCTAGGAAAAGATACTTCAGGATGGTTGTTCTGAAATTCCTAAAGAGAAACAATAAATAATTTTTAACTTGGAATTACAGATGGTTTTTTAATCCTCTGTAAAAAGATTTTCTCATTTAAGCTTCCTCAGAATGGAATGTACCACCTGTTGGCTATACCATTTTAATTAACAACACTAATTTATAGAATGAAACAAAGGATTTATCGTGCCCCTAAGGTTGTAGCTCACTAGACAAATAGGTAACAGCATTCATAATCACTTCTGCCTCTTGAGAGTTATCTATAGAAAATAGAAATATTGTTTTCCCTGCATAGCCACCAGAAACCATACACCTGGTTGCACTCCAGTGTCAAAAACTTGCATGACTATTGGAGGTGAACTTCCTTATCTAGTCCCATTTGCATGTATCAGGAAAAAAGTAATTCTTTAGGAAGAGACCCTTTTATAGTTTTTGCTCTGAAACGAAACATTTATTATATGCAAGATACTTCATATTGTGTTTTCCATAATGGTTTCTCAACAACACTAGGAAGCAGGTATGACATTTTCAAAGAGGAAATGAAACTCAGTTATTAATTTGGTCATTTTGCTGTGTGGAGAAGCCAACATTGGAACCTAACCTAGTCTTTCATGATCCTTAAACTTTATGTTCACCATTAGAAAAGTGTAGCTACTATAAGAGAAGGAAAAGATTCCTGGGGAAATCAGAATCTTGTTGGAAAAAGACAGATGCTAATTCTACAGCATATTATAGAATCAAAGAAATGTTGAATGTACACTTAACAGTTGTGAATCTTAAAGAATTTGACTAATTTTTAACAAAATAATGCTCTTTGGTCTTTTATGTCTTTCAGTCTGAAGATTGTGTTACAAAAAATTAAATATGGCAAGACATGTTTTTCTTCCTCTATATGAGGAAAATGAGACAAGACTGATTTAAATAATAGCTTATTGAAAGAAAAGTCATGGTTGATTAATATTGATGTTTTAAATTTAATAAAGAGGTGTTACTGGGTGGATCTTAAAACAAAACCTATCAGAATAACTGAAATGTCTAACCTACAAAATAGTAATTAAAATTTTAAAAATATCAAGAATAGGTGAAAATAATTCAGGCTTACTGAAAAGCTTTTCAGAAACAAATTGAGAAAAGGAATAGTGAAGTTGTAAAAGATGGTGCAAGGGAAATAAAAGTATTAGGCCAAAATAAAGATTGTTCTAAATACTAACAAAATGAATATATTATTTCCTTAAACCAATGTAAAATAAGTTGCAAATGAGATAAGTTGTAACCAATAAACGTTTAAGAATTTTTAGGGTATTAAAATCCAGTGCAATTTTCTGACAAGTTAGAATTTAATTCCAGTAAGCTTATTGGTTAGCTTTTATGAAGTGTTTAAGGAATAAATACATGTCATGAAAGATGATAAGCTACTAGTTGCATATTGTAGAAAATATAGCTCTAATACAGAAACTCATAGTGTTCTCATTCTGAACAAAGTGCAGAGTGTAATGTTGACAAATAATACAACAGAAAGTTATTTCCTATGACTTAGAATTGTAATACTGGTGTTTAGCAGAATAATTGTTACACTGACTTCAGTAACAAAATGGTAAAAATCAGAAGTATTAACTTAAACTTACCATTCAACTTTGGTTTAATTATCTCTGGTAATGATTTCATAGGCTGCTCTTAATATGCTAAATAATTACTTAAAATTAAGAGCTGGCATTCATTTGGGAAAACACATTTCTCAAGAAGAAATTGAGCAGTATTGTCACCATCTTTATGTATAGTTGAAGAAACAATTTTAAAATCTATAAATGAGGCAGAGCAACATAAATATTTTCTATTTATATTGCTTTTTAAACTAGCTAAACTGATACTTAAATGTATTAACAGTAAAAGACCCATTCAGGAATTTGCAGGATATGTAAGGTAAAAATCTTGTTTCTGGAGTCCAATGCTAAGTGCAGTTTAAAAAATACTTGAATGAATATATATATATATAT